GAACGTTTAATATAGAGAAGGTTCAATTGCGGACAGGCGTGTGAACTGTCAAGAGCTAACAAAATTCTATTAGTGGATTTCACCACTTTTGGCTCGGAAGGAGAAATTTTAACAGAGATGAGTGARCAGAGCTGAGCATTGAATGAAAATTATGCTCAGAAATATACATTGCTTTTACAGACGCGTGTTAGCCTTTTGGCCTATATTTTTATACGTTTACATGCTATCATATCAATTGATATGAATATCATTTTGCGAATTTTTGTGAATTCATGCAAAATTGATAACATATATATTGAATTACGCTATTTTCATGGTAATATTTGTAGTTAATGTAGCTACTTTTTAAATATTTCTTATCATTGATAATATTAYATAATTTCGTATGCATGTATATATGTATGTATACATACATATATGCTATATACATACTTACATATATGAAATATTATCGTAATATCCTAAAAACATAATATATTACAATAATAATATATGTATATATGTACATAAATCACACCTCTTATCATTTAAAACTTTCATACGCATCTATCCGGCAGACATGCATGCAAGTACAAATCAATTTCAAATCAAGATATCATTTATCAGAAATATAACACATACATATGTACAAATAATATATGCGTACGCATGTATGTAAATCAAAAAACACAAACATTCTTCTGAAAAAACAACAATCGTCTCAAACATAAAAAATTTTACAATAAAAAATTGTGTTTACAAACATTATGCGAATGATGCTTTCAAGTTTGTTTACATGAACACAAAATTACATACATATGTATGTGAATTTGTGAACTTTATGAGTACCGTTTTTTAAATCTCTTTACATGTACACATAATTATATGCATATGACTTCTAAGATTTTATCAAAAAAAAAATTTTATCATTACGGTTATGGTTTTTAAAAATCTGTTTATATGTACACATAATTGCATTCATATGCGAATATGTATGTGGGTYGGCTTGGTTTTTAAAATGTTATCAAAACCTCTAATGCCCAAGATATACATATGTACATACATATGTACATATATTTACTTAGGTAGTAATGGAAATATTACTTTATTATAAATTCCAACAGATTTRGTGGAATTTTTCATTAAATAGGTCAAATTTCACATACATACATATGTACATAAATACGAATGAGCTTTGTTATCAAATATGTATATGGAGAATATCTACATATAAATGGTATCCATATTCGCTTGCGCATTGTAAATATGCGAATCTGTAAGCGTACATTTCTAAACATTGAAATTATCATAATTTTTCTCATTTATCACTAAAAATGCTCAATTCTGCTATTTTTGACGCTCCTGTTAAATATTGGTGAAATCCGCTTATAGAAAAGAGTACCCCTTCTTTAGTGGTGAAATCCACTAATAGAAAAGAGTACCCCTCCAAAATATGAAATATCGTAAAATTGGCAGCACCGTGAACCTTCTCTATATTAAACGTTCTCTGGACCTTCTCTATAAACAGAGAACGTTTATCATTTATCATGATAGACGTTCTCTGCTATAAATATACGTTCTCTGGAAGCAGCAGAAAACAATACTCCAGCAACAACAAATGCCCTGTACGCTGTAGCGACGCTGAAGATAGCTAAGTAAACTTCACACTTAACCTAAACAAACAATAAAATTTCCGCATTATAAACACAACAGACAGAATTCCATATCGAAGAACCGATAAGCATAATAAAACTATCTTGGTTCTAGCAAGTAAACAAACATTCGCATAAGTATAAATAGGACTAAAATTATAAAATGTAGTCAGTAAGAAATTATCAATAAAACAGGCAATACGAAAATAAGTGTACTGCCCAATAAATACAATTTCTTTTACTCGCGACAAACAATAGTTTGTTAATTGGGGGCTCAACCGTTCTTTTCGTTTGAACTGAATCTACCATATCCTGACATAAAGCGATAAAACTAAAACCCACGTTCCTTAAGAAGGCAAAAAATAACTTCCTGAAAAATTGGAAACAGCACCGATAAACATCGGAAGCGTGAATCTTATGAAAAGGGACAAAAACTGCTCAATTTGTCTGCACAGGAGATTGTAAATCTCAGGGCTCAAATTTAACTACATCGCTAATTGAGATCCATTAAAGAGTGGCTACCCTTGAGAACAGTCTGCCATCAAATGGGACAATTACGGACCAGCACGAGGACTGCGTACCAAACATAATCAACGGAATGTAGATTAACCTGAATATTTTTAAAGCATTGCCAAACTTCACCGGCAATATAAGTCAGTACAGATACTGGAGAAAACGTGCGTGGACGCACATGGAAAACATAAAGAAATATGTCACAACCCGACATATTATACCGCACTTTCGATATTGCATCGAAGCAGCGAAACAGTGCCTCAGAGCAGCCAAAGCAGAGATTAACCTTTTCGAGAATAAGCTCGCAAGAGTGTGAGATAATGAGATCGTTGCATCGCCTCTGAACTCATTTGTACGTTGAGCATCCTTCAAAAGTTATTGCACTGTTGTACTCCATGGTATTTGATTATTTTTGTTTATTTAATTTCTGTGATTACTTTAAGTAACGAAACTTTTATGCTTTTGGTTTTAATTGTTTTTTCCTCAATATCACTTTTGCTCGTAGACTCTTTTTTTTTATTATTAGAAGGAATTTTATTATTTTACATAATTGGTTTATACTTGTAGTATTGTAAATTATATAAATTTTTTGTTTGAAATATCACTTTTTCTATAAAATGAAAAGCGATTCGTTTTTAATAATTCTTCAGATTTATTTCTCGACCGACTGCGTCAGTAAAGAAACTTAGGTTTTAGTTTCGTGATTATTACTTTATTGAATAATAACTTAAAATTTAAATGCATGGCTTTTATACAAACATTTTGCTTAGCTCATTCATTTATAAATTTGTACGTAAACATCAAAATAATTTTCGGGTTCGACCACTTCAAATTTGTTTGTAAGCAGTAAGCAAACATTAATACTACATGTTACAACATAAGTTATTTTGTAACATTGTTGTGACAAGGAAAAGTAATAGTATCAATTTCGACAAAGTTGCGGCAAAGCAAATGTAAATAAAAAATATCAACTACGGTGATTGCTTTGCGATATATTGCTTAATAATCATTTTATACATTAAAGAAGCTAATTGAACACAAACTCAAATTTCGTATTTAAAATAACTTCCAGTGGGTTGCATTGTTATAATGGGTGGAGTCTCTGACGTAAGTCGTGCGTGTTGAGGTCGATCATAACGTTGCGGGGTAAGCAGTCTGCTTTCTCTCCGCTGCGACACGGCACTCCCCGTCGTATTAGCTGTTTTTGTGCTTTTTCCGAAAATCAATGGTTTTGGTTGCAGCTATACGTATGAAATGCCGGCCCACAGTTCCCTTATACTAAGTTGTTGACGAGTGCTTTCAGAGAGCAGGAGTGCAAGCCGAGTAGAAAATCGTTCGGCTGTCTGTGTGATTACAGCTTCTCGATGGCGAATCATCCTTGCGTTTGCTGACGTGCGTTTTTTGAGATAAGTCCACGTCGATGTCCGGAACAACTTGCCATTGGCTTAAATGTTCGGTTGCATCCGAACTTAGCCCTCGTACCAAGTTTCTTTAAGATATATTTCAACTTTTACTACTTATTAAATTAAAATCTAATCAAACTGAAATTACTTATGAACATATGTGATATAAACTCAATTAAAGCTAAATTGAATGTATGGGGGATATATGGAAAACGTCAACCAAATAAGAAGAGATCCCAATTTTATTTTAAAGTTATGATAACAATGAGTATAAAGCCAGCTGGGGAAGTTCCTCTGTAATTCATTTCAGTTTTAAATTGTAATTATATGTTGTCGCAATTGTATTTATATGTTGTGTTTGACGAAACGATTCAATACCAATCGAAAACTCAAATGTTTTACATGTGGCTACTTTTAAGAGCACAGACAGACCGACGGACCAACATCCAACCATTCGAATCGCAAAGTTGGGTAGGGTGTGAACCGAAAACTTTGCTGAATATTTTTGAGGTGAGCTTTCAACAAGTGTAAAATATTTTCTAATTTCTACCCTGAAATATTCCGTTTAGTATTAGAACGTGGCAATTAAATAAATATTTATTTATAAATATAAGTGTTAAAACTTGATTATTATTCTATACAATTACAACAATATACATATTTAATATAATCTAAACTTATTATTAGAACGCCGCAATATATGATTTAAATAAATATGTGTTTATTTATGGCTGTAATAAAACTTGGTTTTTATTTTCTACAGTTACAATATATATTATTTACCTTTATTCTAGCTATGACCTTATGCCATGCAATAGTTATGTTGCCACAGTTTCTGTCAAGTCTTTAATTTTCGAAGTGGGTGGGATTATTGAGCGAACACTTTACGCAAGTACGGAATATTCACGTAAGTAGTACTAGTTCGAAAAAATAAATGCAAGCACATGTATCCTATTACAAAACACTGAGCCTGTTTATATCTATATACCTGTTTTTAGATATTGATGTGAAATTTAACTCTTTATCCCAGAGTAGCTGCTCAATGGTGGAAACCGCTGATCTACGGCATATTTGCAATAAGAGTGATATGATTTTTTTTTTAAATAAAAAGCACTCATTTTTAAGGTAATTCAAATGTTTTTTATTTAAAGCGAAGTACAAGCGATACAATTAAGTTCTGAATACAACATCATTCAAATGGCCTCCACGATTTCTTTTCCCCCTTTTCGAGTACCTTTTCCTCTTAATTAAGTTGTATGTGCAGGAAAAAACGTATAACGTTACGTTTCGTATATTATTCAATTTCAAATATTTACACAAGTTATAGTTTAAATGTAGATTTATACGAATTCAAGATGAAATATTCGGGATATAATTTTTTTTTTTAAGCGAATAATCCTAATTTAGATTTAACATCCTTCATAAGCGCTTGCACAGAATCCTTATTCGCCACATATTCCTAAATTGCCTCTTATTTTTCACTGTACGTTGTGTCTTTAACAGTTTTGATTTAATAATGGCCCAATAAATCCCAATCGGCCTGAGCTGTGGGCAATTCGGAGGGTTCTCCTCTTTGGGAACAACAACCACTTTATTGTCTTGGTACCACTTTAAAGCGGATTTTACGCAATGATATGTCGCAAGATCAGCCCAAAAGAGTACTGGTTCCTTATGAAGCTTAATTAAAGGCAAAAGAGTTTCTGAAAATACTCATTAACATAAATTTCCAGTCATCGACTAACACTCGACGTAAACGGTTGTGCTCTCAATTTTATTGTCTGCGAATTCAGAATAGTTTACTATCTCATTCCTCACCTCACTCTATTCTCTCAAATTTTTTAGTGAATTTCAGTGAATTAGGGAGACCATTTTAGAAAAAAATAGGTTCGCCCTATTATCTTCTAGCCCCCAACAAATTAATGGAGCAATTATCGAAGGATGAATTATTTCCTACTTTACCAACAACAAAAAAAGATGGCCCTAAGTATGTTGTGGTAAGTTCAAGTGAATTATTTCCTACTTTACCAACAACAAAAAAAGATGGCCCTAAGTATGTTGTGGTAAGTTCAAGTGAAACAAGCAAACCTTTAAATAAATTTTCATGCTTCGCTGTGCATAAAGCCCTGAAACATATTAGTTCTGACATAATAAGAATTAGTGAACTAAAAGACGGCAATTTACTACTCTTAGTAAAAAATAGCAATATCGCAAAAAAATTCACAGCAACAAAACACCTCATTGGTATTTGTTATGTAAAAAATGAACTACATAAAATTTAAACTCCTCAAAAGGCACTATCTACGCTCCGTATTTAAATCAAATCTCTGACAATGAAATAATTGAAAATTTTAAAGAACATTGTGTTACATCCATTTACAAATTTCTAAAATATATAAATGGTCAAGTGGCGTGGTTCTTTTAACCTTCGATCGCTACTACTTACCCGAAAAAATTTATGTATCATGGTATACAACCAAGGTAAGACCGTACTACCCAAACCCAATGAGATGCAAAAACTGCCAACTTCTTGGCCATCCAAAATAAACTCTGCAATAAGATCCCTATCTGCGACACATGTGCATTTCCAACACACTCTAGCACTCTCTGTGTAAATTGTTCTGCTGAACACGCCGCCTCAAGTAAATTGTGTCCAAAGTTCAGCGAAATAAAAAAAAAAATAATAAAAATTCAAACAGATATTAAAAGCTCATTTCGCGAAGCAGTAAATATTCACAAATCACAAATACCACATGTTTTTAATTCTACATCTCCTTCATTCGCTAACGTACTTAACAATCCGACAAACATAGAACTCAAATAACAAACAAAATACCCAAAGAGGAGCGCAAATCTCTCCTTCTACTTCTATTTCATCTTCACCATCTAACTGTAAAATAACACACGAACAACGAAGCAACGAAAATAAAACCACCACAGTAAATTCAACAAATTCTCACTCTAAAACAAACAGCACAAATATTGAAAATCAAACAACTATAGTAAACGCAACAAGTTGAACGTACTCTCTCCCAACAACAAGTGCAGTCGATGACTCATCCACAACTCCCTTTGATTAAAACTTTTAAAAAATTAACAGCTAGTATAAAACCACTTCAAGCCCTAGAAAAATATGGAGTGACATAAAAGCTCTTTCAGGTGGACACTATCAAAACAAAATTGACTTTATCCAATCACCGTTAGGTCCTATTTATGATCCACAAAAAATCGCTGAAAATTTTGTCAAAGTATGGTCAAGCAATTCCAAAAATTTTAACTTCCACTCTAATTTTGTCACTCTTTCAAACGAAGTAATTTCACAAAATTACTGCAACTCATCACTGCGGTTTGAAGCCGCATTGATAGTAGTGATGAGCGATATTTCACTACCGGTGATTTTTTCACTGTGATTGAAAAATCGCATATCGCAACTGCGATCACATTTTATAAATAGCAGTTCGAACCTGTGATTTTCGATAGCAGTTCGAAACTGTGAATTGCGATCGCTGTTCGAATTTGTGATTTGCGATAGCAGCTCGAAACTGTGATTTGCGATAGCAGTCCGAACCTGTGTATTGCGATAACAGTTTGATTTTGTGAATTGCGATTGCGATTGCGATAGCAGATCAGAATAAGCTTGTAAAACTGTTAGCAAAGCCAGTGAAAAACGCCTTCCTTCCTTTTCCTTCCTCATCGGCAAAATGTGTTAGCAGTGAAAAACGTGGCAAAAACGCAGAATTCAGCCGTCCTTGTTTGTTTTCATTTGCACAATGTTGCCATTGCTCAATACGCATATATAGTTTTGTACACATCTATGTTTTTAATTACGATTTTTTATAATATAAAATATCAAAACTGAGAAAAAACTATTAAAAATAGTTTATATATTTATAAATAATAGCATTCGACTCTGATTGAATTATAAAAGTTGATAATTACTACAGTATATAGATATTGGCAGCCCTGGATTGTGAGTGAGCATTCAGCTGACACGTTTCCACGGCAAAAATCAAAATGCTGTAGATTCCCACGTCATCCTACGTCAAAGAGAGAAGGGAGTAGCGTTTTTCACTGTGCACTTACATTGCGCGCCCATAAGATTGGTCGTATCAGCTGACACGACCCACGATTCTACGTTTTTCACTGTTCCAGCTATGTGGCTTTTTAATAGCACAGTACATGCGATCACAACAGCAAATAGCAGAAAAGTACCAGCTTTCTGCGGGATATTGTAGATATACCAAAGTGATCAGGGTGACGAGTAGAGTTGMAATCCGGATGTCTGTCTGTCCGTCCGYCCGTGCAAGCTGTAACTTGAGTAAAAATTRAGATATCATGATGAAACTTGGTACACGTATTTCTTGGCTCCATAAGAAGGTTAAGTTCGAAGATGGGCAAAATCGGCCCACTGTCACGCCCACAAAATGGCGGAAACCGAAAACCTATAAAGTGTCATAACTAAGCCATAAATAAAGATATTAAAATGAAATTTGGCGCAAAGGATCGCATTAGTGAGGGGCATATTTGGACGTAATTTTTTTGGAAAAGTGGGTGTGGCCCCGCCCTCTACTAACTTTTTTGTACATATCTCGAAATCTACCATAGTTATGTCAACCAAAAATGTATAGGGTCGTTTCTTTTAGGCATTTTCATTTACAGTTCAAAAATGGAAGAAATCGGATAATAACCACGCCCACCTCCCATACAAAGGTTATGTTGAAAATCACTAAAAGTGCGTTAACCGACTAACAAAAAACGTCAGAAACACTAAATTTTACGGAAGAAATGTCAGTAGGAAGCTGCATCCAGGCTTTTTTTAAAATTTGAAATTGGGCGTGGCGTGGCCCACTTATGGACCAAAAACCATATCTCAGGAAGTACTCTACCGTTTTCAATGAAATTCGGTATTATTATATACATGATATCTCTTAACATGATGACATGTACCAAATATGGGTGAAATCGGTTCACAAGCACGCCTGAAATCTCGATTATCACTTTATCATGCGAGAGTATAAAATGTTCGGTGACACCCGAACTTAGCTCTTCCTTACTTGTTAATAATGGCTAATGTAGCAAGGAAAAGAATTGAAGTATGGCAGATGTTTGAAGTGGTAACGAAATATATGCAAAATGCAATATCTGCAAATCAAGAATTTCATATAAAACTTCTTTAACAAATTTAGAAAAACAGAATAGATATCCTACAGTAAAACTACCAGCTCAAATGGTATATATGTAATAATTTAAAATTTTTTAATATAAAGTTATTAACTTTTGCTTTACTAATAGAAACAAGCAAATCATACTACAACTATTGTAATTCAAACCCCCTCTAACTCGGAAGCTACAATAGATATTGATAAGTCAGGAACTTCGAGACATCCGAACAGCTCCAACATTTGCGAAAATGTAGTGAAAAGAAAGGTGGAAAAACTTGACTCGAGTTACAGGGCCCAAAAGAGAATTTGCCGCCAATAACGAGAAAAAGTTTCCGTCGTTCCCACGACAGTCGGCCAAACACTGTCAAATCGGCAGAATCTGCCACTACAACAACAACAAAAGGTCTCCATTTGAAAGTCGACTTAGTTGCGATCGCACTAGCAATATAAAATCACACTGAAATCGCAGATATTGAAAAATCGCAATATCGTTAATCTCTAATTGATGGAATCTCCCATTACAATTGAAGAATTTGATTTTACTATCAGCAAAATGTCCGGAAAAATACCTGAATCAGACAAAATTTCTTACCTACTATTAAAAAACCTCCCACACTCCTTAAAAGTCAGATTGATAACTTTATACAATAACATATTAGAACAAGGCATACTGCCGCAGGAGTGGAAAAAATCTGTTATTATCCCTCTCCCCAAATCTAACAAATCAAATACCTCAATCACTGACTTCAGACCAATTTCTTTGATTTCTTGTATGGCAAAAGTTCTGGAAAAAATCATTTCAAAGAGGATAATGTGCCAAACAAAAGAATTTAATAAGTCCCAATTCGCAAGTTCGCTTTTCAAAGTGGTCTTGGTGTCATTGACCCTCTACTTTACTTTGAACATTGCGTCTCTTCAACAATGACTGCGAAAAACCACTTATCCGTCCTCAGCCTAGACTTTGAAAAAG